ATAATAAGATAGCTGCTATAGATCTGGGAAATGCATGGTGTATGAACACATCAAGAAATGAAACGAAAGAGTGTTTTTTTAAAGGATTTTTCTCTCAACCATGTTTGGATTGTAGCATTGCAGGCATTCTTGGTGTCATGTGTGGTTATTGTTTAAGATATTAGTAAACGATTTAAGATGGATATATAATCTGACAAAAAGACCCTTTTATATAATAGTTCACTAAAAAGATTATATAAGATTATAAAAACACTAAAATAAAAAGCTCATTTCCTACGACAAAAATCTATAGGTAAAGCCATGAATCCATAAAAGATTATATAACATTATAAAAACAAAAAGTGCCACTATTCAGCCTTCTATCGGATCCAGTACAGCAGCTCTGTAGCCAGTAGGACTGCTCTACACCCTACATCACTGTAACACGCTGTTTAAAACACTAATGTAGACATAATGAAATGTCAGAAACTTGTATACTAGCCATCGAGAAGTTTATATTTTGGAGAAATAATAGCTGCTGAAAAAGAAAAAGATTATTTTCCCAAAAAAAATAATCTATCCCAAACTTGTATTTATTTTAGATATTATGATATACTTATTTATATAAAGGTTTCGAAAATAAAATATAAAAAAAATTGTAGAATAACTAGTAGAAATATTTGATTGTGAAGGGTTTGACAGACATACATAAAAAATAGGTATGCCACATAGAAGAAGGCTACTAAACTGAAGTATATGAGCTTCATTTATTGATAAACTTACTAAAACTCAATAAATAAAAAATTGGTAAGACTTGAAGTGTTTCAAAAGGAAACTCAACAAATAAAAAATTGGGACCTCCAGCAGTAGTTGCCTCGTGAACAACTCTATCAATCTCATCAGTCGTCACCCCTGGCTGAATAATTCTAGCAGCTGCATCCAACACCTCCCTTGCAATCTATTAATTACAAAGCAATTAACCATAATTAGAGGCTAAAGTCTACATCAACACAAAATAGAAAATAAACAAATATTTTAAAGACCTTTCATGTCTGAAAGTTTACTCAAGTTTAACAGTTTCTGAATTTGTCGTTATTCAATTCAAAACTCATTATATTTAAGTAATTTTTCTATTTTTGAGCATTTGTATATGCATAGTATTAGTTATTTAATGTATATAAAAATATCAGAAAAAGCAGTCATGCTACTATCCACCATCCTGCTATCCCATTTTATGGGCCAGTAACTCTGCACCGTTATTCTGAATTTATAACTATGATTGAGATGGTAGAGGAGTAAAAACAACTTATATATAAGAGAATCTACATAGACAAAGAGTGGCAAGTAGCTTACATGACAAGTTTCCCTCATTCTCTCGATTTTATCTGGAGTTTTGACCTACATATTGGACTTAATTTAAGAGAACACTATTGGACTTAATTTTTGGACTTCCGTAGAAGTTGAACACAAGAAATAAAAAGAATTCAGCAAGCAATGAACCCTCCTTGTATTTAAGAAAAATAAATAAGAGAAGGCACAAAGCATTTAAATAGGAAGAACTCATATAACATACATCATCAATCCAATCAGGTTTATCAATATAATTTGGGACAATCTGTTAATTAGAAATCAGTCCAATCATAGCAAGGAAGTCTGAGCTTGCCCACTCTTCAAAGAATATAACCAACCTTCACTTAGAGAGCCTGAATTTTGTGTCTCAGATGAGGATAATTTTGCCTTCAGATGCGCTGTTTTGTGCTGATTTGTGCGACCTTAATGAAGACTTGAAACTCTCCTGAGAACTGTCAAAAGATATCAAAATTGACTCAAGTATGAAGGATATGAAGACTGCGAGATGTATATTTCAGGGTGATTCAGTATCAATAATTAACTAGGGATTGACAATCCCTAATAACTAAATCAATATGTTGGGGATATTAAATTGGATCAATCAGATTTGATGAAAGAGACGAAACTGAAAGCTCAAAGTTTGACATAAATGCTTGCATAAACTTCTACAGAAATGATAGGATCATAGAGAAGAGGATAAGATCTATCCTATATCTCTAATACTATATTTTTGAGAAAATTGCCCTGCACCTTTGTAAGTGACTCTACTAAAAGCACCAAACTACAAATTAAAAACTAAACATTAACTTAAATACTAAAACACGAATCATGGACTATCCTCCAAGACAATGTAGCCAATACTTTTGATGTATAAAAACGAAAAAGAAAAACTGTGTCTGTTGCATACTGCTAAAATGCAACTTTTCTTAAAGAGCCCACACTTTCTAGTACCTGATAATAAGCACTCAAGCTCAAATATAAAAAATATGATTAATATAAACAATTAGTTGTCCATAAAAAATAATAATCAAGTATAGAATAAACCAAAACATTAAGACAAAAGAAATTCAGCAAGAATGAAATAAAGAATCTAAAATTCAAGAACCAAAACATAAGCTTGAAACCAACAGGACAATAAATTAATGAATTAAATAAACATCATACTACCGACTGAGGAAGAAGCAATGGCAGATCCACAACCGGAGGTCTCAGTTTCTAAAATTTCCGGTCACCACACGATCCAGTTCCTCACCATCGGCATTCAGCTTCTCAACAAAATGTCCACTATTATTCCTAATCAAAATTATGAATCATCTTCACCTAGAATAGTCATATCATATTTGATATAAGTCATATTAAGAAGAATAGAGGTGATCCTTGTACACTAAGATTTGACTAATTCCAGAATTAAAAGTATACAAAGAGGATCAACTAGATGCTGAGAGAAACTTAAGTCTACAATCTGGGATAAAAAGTTTGCAGAAACCAAATAAAAGAACACTGAACATGAAAACATAGGAAACGGAATCATCACAATGGGTTATCCTGCTGTAAGCTTTACAAGATTTAAAGATGTTGTAAGTGTGTAACTAACCTAAGAATGCAAAAGAATCTTAAAAAAATATTGGAGTGCACGACAGGGAAAGAAAAAAGGGTTAGATAGATGAAAACCTGGATTATGGAATGCGAACCCGTATTAAATAAATTTGGGAGATTTGATTTTGTGTCATTGCCAATTGAAACGGCCAATTGAAAGGGGAGGAAAGGTGAGAGTTGTGTTGTGAGCTTTTCTTGGGAGCGTGAAAAGATAAAATCTTAATTTTAATAACTTTTCTAACAGATACAGTTAATTAAAGCATTAAGGTAAACCGCGTGGTTAAGTATTAGGGTTTATAAATTGATTTAGTTTAGTGTCACAAAAAGGTGTATAATTATTGAAACAAAATATGAGGATTTAAAAAAATATTATGCGAACACCAAGATAAAATACAGAACCTCTTGCAGCACTAAATACATTCAAAATTTATTCTTTCATAAAAAAAAAATATTTCAAAATATTTTGATTAGTTATATTTATGAAAAGAATAATAGTATATAATTCTTAGTTTGAAAATAACAACTTTATTTTTACCTCAAACATTTATTGAAAGAAAAAAAAAAGAGATAAATAGATGAGAAAAGAGAGATTTGTTTTTTTAATATTTTTTGCGAACAACTGCAAAAATATTTGATATTTTATAAAAAAACTAATTTCTCTCTTTGAATTATGATCCAAACACAACAATAAATATTAAAATGAAATTATTTAAAGAATTACTTCTTTTAGTAGATGTTTTAAATAAATTTTAACCATCGTTAATTTTTTTCTCTAATATAATTTTAATATATTTATTATTAAAAATTAACTCATATTAAAAATGTTAGTTCTTTCTCTTTTATATTATTTTTTTCATTCTTAAGTTAATCCTTTTTATATTTTTTAAATATTTAGTCATTTAATAAATTTTTGGATAATAACTTATATTTAAAATATTAATTACTTTTTTCATTTCTAATTTTATCTTTTTATTGTTTTTAATTATTTTTTTCATTTTAATACATTGTACATTATTTTTGTATAATCTTGGTAAACTATCATCCGAGATGGTGTTTTTTAAAAATTATATATAATCTTAAATGATCTAAACATATCTTAAATAAAAAAATTTAATTGATTATGTACAATCTTGTATGATCTTATTAGTAAACTATTATCTAAAAGCGTTTTTTAACAAAGTCTTAAATAATTTACTTATATCTTAAATAATTTCTTATACATTATAAATACCAATATTTAGTATTGGCATTTGATATTGCAAATTCAATCACTAGAAGCAGATCAAGAAAAAAGAAAGAAAATCAGTCTATTTATCTTAAAGAAGACAAATTCATGACGAGAAGCTTGTTTCTCATGCTATTTGCGGTAGCAACCCTACTTCATGGCTGTGTTGCACAAACCATACACATGATGGGTGATTCTACTGCCTGGACGGACGATCTATTTAAGGTTTTATTTATTTGAATGGATTGAGGAGAGTGATTGAATAAATTTGAGAGGATTTAAAGGTAAATTTTTTATCGTTTATTTGTGTGGATTTGAAGATAAGTAATAATATATTTAGAAGTAAAGTTTGTGAGAATTAGTGTAGAATTTGATTGATGTGACAGATTAAAAAAACTTACTTTCAAATCTATTTCCACTTACCTCCAAATCCACTCAAATAAACAACAAAAAAATTACTTTCAAATCCTCTCAAATTCATTCAATCACTTTTCACTAAATCCATTTAAGTGAACAAAGTACAACGAATGATTGCTTTGTGAAAAATATTAAAAATACTTTGTGATTGCTTTGTAAAAAATATTAAAAATATGTATACGTATATTTTTTTTCTGATCTATCTTAACTCTTTTTTCTCTATCAATGTTGAGGTAGTGTTTATGAGGTAGAAATAAAGTTGTTCTTTTCAAACTAAAAATTATTTTTTTTCTAATAAATATAACCAAACAATACATTTGAAATTGAATAAATTCAAATAAAAAACAAGTTTTAAATATATTTATTCCTTCAACAGGTTCAATGTTTTACTTTTGGTCTACATATAATTATTTTTTTAAAATATACGTTGATAAAATTATTTTTATTTTAAATGATGATATTTTGTTTTAATAATTGAAGTATATATTTTTTTTCTTTTTATCCTTTTGAAATATATATTATTGTGAAAAGTGATACCAAAATTTTAAATCTTCTTTATATATTTATTGTATAACTTTATTCTTTCTAATTATTATTTTTCGATTAAAATATATATTTGGTTGTCTAATGTAAATTTCATCAATTTAAAGCTCAGGATCATAAGATTAAATGTGTGTCGTTTCACAAGTTGACATGATCCATAAATATAATCAACATTTGAGATATGTGATATGGTCTAGTTAGCAAATATGTGAATATTGATTTTCAATGAGTGACTCAAAGAGTATAAAAAAATATTAAAAATAAGAAAAAAAAGAGAAATTTAACTACTCCTAGTCATCTAAAACGTACACATTTGAAGCAATCCCTTGCAACAATGGTGTCTTGATGCCTTGGAGTAGTCTCCGAAAGTTCCTGAGATGTTTTCGTTTCTTTCTTTTGTCCGGAACTTCTGTTCGATGTTTCTGTCTCTCTGTCACGTCTTTTAAACTGCTGCTTTTTAACTTATGTTATTCGCTCAGCGCACACCATTTTTCTGTACAATATTTTACATAACAATCTACTACCTATTACAATTTCAATGAGGAACAACATCAATAATTACAAGATTGCTCATTTATAAGTATAAAAACTAACTCTTTTTCACACTTATCATTTACATATTTATTGTAAAACTTTACTCACAATCTAATAATATATTAATAAGTGTTACTTTTAGTGTGGCATTCAGTTTTTATTATGCAACACAAATGTGGAATATATTGATAAGTGTTACTCCTTAAACAAATACTAATTCAATGATTTATTTTTATCAAAATAAAAAGTAAATTTTACTTTTTAATTTTGTGAATGAATTCGTCTTGGTAAAAATTTAAATCTGAATATAGCGTATCAAATTAATAAATTGCGCTATATCAAATTGGTCGTATTTTTCAGTATTAAGTTAAGAAAGTGAAGTGGTAATTCTACTGAACTCGCATATTCATAAAAAATGGAATTTAGGTGATGAAAATTGAAAAAAGTTTCTATAATGAGATTTAAAACAGTAGAGCACATTTCTAGCTAGCTAGGTTATGGTGAATTAGCCTACTACTGAAAGATGAAGGAGGATTTTATACCATGCTAAACCAGGACTGTTAGAATCTCACTCTTAAACATTTCTAAATTTGGTTGAAATATTATGTTCCATAATAAATAGTTTACTATACTACACGTAACCACACTCATCAAATGTATCACTTGTCTCAGACATACTCATTCTATTGAGTCGCGTCACTGTATTTATGCTGCGGGCATCCCTCCATGCTCGGCCTCTTACGTATCCAAATACATGAATTACAACTGAAACGCATCTCCTTTCTGGTGTAGCGATAAACCTCAAGAATAAAGATTTGCAAAAGACCACAAAATGAGAATGACAAAGAGATTTATGATTTCGCTCGTCGGTCAAACTTATTTCGCTGCTCAAGTATTTCATAATCTATACAGTATAACTTTATCGCTGGGGGCGGAAAAATTGAACTAATAATCATGACTTAAAACGAGTAGCCATCTGAAGAACTATTAACTTCTTTAAGCCCTCCTTTGAAACAATAAATGGTTAAGTTACTTAGTTAAATAAAATAAAGTTGACGAAAGAAAATTTTAGAATTACATGTAGAAAGCTAACTACACCCTCCGCCTCAAAACAACACACAGACTCCTCAGGGAAAACCTCGACCACGGATACTACGAAATTCTTCAAGAATCTAAAAGACAGCAACTCAATCCAGCTTTATACAGTCCATCTCATTGATCACCCCTTCAAGCTGCAAATAAAACAGAACAAATTGTTCATGTTAATATATACAAGGGAAGTGTAGCAAACAGGAAAATTATGAACCACAATGCAATGTAAACATACCTTGACAATCTGACGCAAAAAGTAATCACCATAACGTTTCCCAGGCTTGGACTCCACAACATGAATTGTGTCCTGCAGCAAATTGAAACGATGTTCAACATTTGCAAGCACTATTTAAGATAGAAACAGGAGAACTGCCAGAGTTAAACTCCAAAAGCCTAATTTAGCTTGAGTCGGAAAATCATATCAACTGTCCAATGTTTATAGCATTGGCACAAAGTCAGGGAGCCAGTTCACCACTATAGTCCCTTTGCACTAGTCTTATTCTTAATATACATAGAAGTAAAAACATAAAAGTTAATTAAAACACAGAATAATATCTATCAGATTCAAACCAACAAAAAGACCATCAATGGTGTATCAGTACCATGCCAGTGACTCCGTAATGCATATGGTAGTCAAAGCTCAGACTTGAACCTTAATTTAACAAAGACTTTGAGAACAAGTAAATGATATTATTATCAAAGAAACAAGTTCGACTAAAAAGGACAAGCGTGACAATATCGCCTGGAAAATTTATTCACTTTCCCAAACAGCAATTAACTTCAGTGAGAAAAGGATCATTCAAAAAAAATTGCAAGCAAGCTTACCTCATCAATATAGAAATCTACATCGGCATTGGATGTAATTTTCCCATCACTATCAACAGCATGTGTCTTGTGCTTGTATGTCATCAAGATAGTCCTGCCATCCATTAGAATGGAAATACACGAGTAAACTTTTGCACAAAGCATATATGTTATAAATAAAAAAATCTTGATATTCAAGGGGGAGGATGCTAAAATAATATTTTGTATAAACCTTAAGGTGGGTTCATCCACTTCCATATAACTCGCAAGTTTTGCAAGGGAGATTGTTGAATACACTTTCAAGAAGGTCCGAACACCTGATAACAACTGTTGCTGCTTTGCTTCATAAAG